TGGAATATTTAGATGGAGATTTTATTCTCACAATCGGCTATGGAGAGAATATTCTATAATGGGACTGTCTTCTGGGTGACTGACTTGGGTCTTCCTGACATGCCTGGACTCCTAATAAAGCGGTTGCTTCCTTGGAGTCTTCTCTTCCCTGTTGTTTTGTGCAGAATGGTGAAAGTATTGCTCAATTTCTTGGGACCCTTACAGGTCTGCCTCAGTGATTGCATTAACCAGTCTAGCCTCTCGTGACGGGTTGCGGAGTCACGGTGCCTCTGGCCAAACAGGGCTGCATGGTTAGCAAAGAGCACTGAGCCAGAAGAGAAAAGGCCTACCTTTTCTCACTGCTCTCACTAACAAGCTGAGTGGTGTTGGGTGAGTCTCCTTTTCTGTTTGGACCTATTGTATGCAATATGAAGGCATGGTTATGTCAGAGCTCGGAGGACTCTGTACCTGTGGGAAGAGTAGAGAGAGAAAGAGCTTCTATCCACTGGTTTTCTCCCTATGGCTAGAACATCCAGGGCTGGGCCAATCAAAAATAAGGAGCCTGAAGTTCCATCCAGGTCTCCCATGTGGATGACAGGGGCCCAAGCACATGGATTATTTTCCACTGCTTTCCCAGGCACCTTAGCAGGGAGCTGTATTGGAAGTGGAACAACCAGGATTCGAACCAGCACTCATATGGGATGCTGACATTGCAAGCAGCAGTTTAATACACATCATTATAATGTCAGCCCCCAGACTCTAGCTTCTGCTCTTCCACTTTAACTCTAGGTAGCTTCATAGTTTATTTCCTGAACATCCTTGCTGTCGGATGCATAATTTAATTTGCTAGATTCATTGGTCCATCTTCAAACGCATAGAAATAACTTCCTTGTCATTTAGAGTTCATTCATAAGTGCATAACCGTTAGAAATATGAATGTAATAATCTAATCCGGTATGTGTGGTTCACTACAGAGATTTGACCTTGCTCAGGTGTGGTGGTCTGTATAAGGGAGTCATCTTCATGCCTTGTGGTGGAGCTTAAATCCATAAGGCAGGCAGAGGCAAAGGGAAGATGGATATAAAACGAGAATGAGTAGATGCTAGGATGTTCTGTTGGAGAACCTGGTGGCCTTAGTCATGAACCTGAAAAACTCCTATCCCAAAATCTCTCTTGTGGCTTACCCTAAACGAGAAATAGACAAAGAAGGGCAGTCTATGCAGTTAACTGTGCTGCGTGCGTTGTGCTGATCTGGGAGGTTTTTAGTTCCTCTTTCCTTTGGAACAGGAAGCATCACTCAATGCGAGGTTGAGCACCCCACTGTTTCAGTTTAAAGAGGTGCTTCTTCAGGAGGAAGGAAACAAAGAAATGAACCATTCATCCCACCCACCTTCACACCTTGACGGTTCCATCTGTAATCAGAGGTTCACATAGACATGCATTCCTCTCAGCTATGTGAACAATATAAAAAATAATTTTTAAAGAAGTATTTCTTGCCAATTCAAGTGCTGCAGACTGTTTTCAGAGAGACTGAGTGTGGTAAATACCCTCCTATTCAGGGGTTTAAGAAGCCAGACATTAGTCATGTATAAGTATTATATAATTCCATTTATTTTTCTAAAATGTATTTTATTATTTGAAAGGCACATAGAGAGTGACAAAGACAAGGAAAGCGAGGGGAAGAGAGATCTACCGTCTGCTGGTTTACTTCCCTTATCAGCCAGACGTGGCTGAAGCTGGGGACCAGGAACTCCAACTCCCCACGTGAGTAGCAGGAACCCTAATCAAACCCTCCTCTGCTGCTTCCCCAGGCACATCAGCAGGGAGCCAGATCAGAAGTACAACAGCAAGGACTTGAACCTGAACCCCAACCTGGGATGCTTGTGTCATAGGTGGGGCCTAACTTACTGTACCACTGTGGTGACCCCTCTGTGATTCCATTTCTGTGAAATAATCTAAACTAGGTAAATCCATAGACAGAAGATTATGTTTTCACGGGCTGGGAGTGAGAAAGGAGATCCTTTTGAAAAGTGAGAAAAGTTTTAGAACTAGCTGAAGAGTGTTTGCATGACATTTTTTTTTTAACAGTATCTTTTTTTTTTAATAAATCTTTTTTTTTTAAGATTTATTTTATTTTTATCACTAAGTCAGATATACAGAAAGAGGAGAGTCAGAGAGGAAGACCTTTCATCCAATGATTCATTCCCCAAGTGAGCACAACGGCCGATGCTATGCCGATCCGAAGCCAGGATCCAGGAACTTCTTCTGAGTATCCCACACGGGTGCAGGGTCCCAAAGCTTTGGACCATCCTCAACTGCTTTCCCAGGCCACAAGCAGGTAGCTGGATGGAAAGTGGAGCTACTAGGGTTAGAACTGGTGCCTATATGGGATCCCAATGCATTCAAGGTGAAGACTTTTGCCACTAGGCCACTACTCCAGTCCCAGTATCTTTTTTTTTTAAAGACCTTGCTTAGTTTTTATTTAAAAAAAATTTTTTAAACATTTGTTTTGTTTTTATTGGAAACGCAGATATACAGAGAGTAGGAGAGACAGAGATCTTCCATCCGTTGGTTCACTCCCCAAGCAGCCACAATGGCTGGAGCTGTGCTGATCCAAAGCCAGGAGCCTCTTCCACCAGGTCTCCCATGTGGGTGTAGGGTCCAGAGCTTTGGGCCATCCTCGGTTACTTTCCCAGGCCACAAGCAGGGAGCTGGATGGGAAGCAGTTTGCCAGGATTAGAACCTGTGCCCATATGGGATTCTGGTGCGTTTAAGGCAAGGACTTTAGCTTCTAGGCTACCACGCCAGGCCCTGCATGATATTCTTAATGTATGACTGAATTGTTCACTTTAAAGTAGCTAATTTTGGAGGACCAGCCTTATTACATAGTGTGTTAAACCACTGCTTGTGATTCCAGCATCCCAAATCAGAGTACAGGTTCAAGTTCTGGCAGCACTGCTTTGAATCTGTCTTCCAGTGATCTACCTGGGAAGGCAATAGAGAGATGACAGCTCAAGTAGCTGGGTCCCGTGCAGGAAGCCAGGGTAGAGTTCTTGGCTTCTGGCTTTAGCTGGGCCCAGCCCTGGCTACCGTTTATACCCATCTGAGGAGTGAGACAGTGGAGAGAAGGATCTTTCAAATTCTCTGTTGCCTTTTGAATGAATGAATGAATAAACTAATAACGTTTTTTTTTTTAAAGATTATTTTTATTGAAAAGGCAGACTTAAAAGGAAAAGCAGAGACTGAAAGAAAGGTCTTCCATCCACTGGTTCACTGTCCCAATTGGCCACAACAGTTGATGCTGAGCTGATCCAAAGCCAAGAGCCAGGAGCTTCTGGGTTTCCCACGTGGGTGCAGGGCCTTGGGCTGTCCTCAACTGCTTTCCCAGGCAACAAGCAGGAAGTTGAATGGGAAGTGGAGCAGCCAGGATACAAACTGGCACTCACATGGGGTTCTGGTGCATGCAAGGTGAGGATTTTGGCCACTAGGCTATGATTCTGGGCCCATTAGATAACTTTTAAAAGAAATGAAGTAACTTGGGCCCGGCGCGGTGGCGCAAGTGGTTAAGTCCTCGCCTTGCACGCCCGGGATCCCATATGGGCGCCGGTTCTAATCCCGGCAGCCCCGCTTCCCTTCCAGCTCCCTGCCTGTGGCCTGGGAAAGCAGTTGAGGACGGCCCAAAGCTTTGGGACCCTGCACCCGCGTGGGAAACCCGGAAGAGGCTCCTGGCTTCGGATCGGCATAGTATCGGCCCGTTGCGGCTCACTTGGGGAGTGAATCATCGGATGGAAGATCTTCCTCTCTGTCTCTCCTCTCTGTATATCCGCCTTTCCAATAAAAAAAAAATAATAAAAATAAATCTTTAAAAAAAAAAAGAAATGAAGTAACTAGTAATAGCCAAACTGGGGGGCAAATATTGTGGTACAGCTGATTTAGCCACTGATGATGATGGCTGCATCCCATGGCGGAGTACATGAGCTGTTGTACACTTTCTAACCCCTTACTAATGTGCTTGAGAGGCAGCAGATGATGACCTGTGTACCTGGGCCCCACCATCTTCATGGGAGACCTGAATGGGAGTTCTTGGTTCCTGGTATTGGCCTGGCACAGCCCTGACTTTAGCAGGCTGTTTGAGGAGTTAGAAACTAGAAAATGTCTCTCCCTCTCTGTCTTTCATATTAATGAAACGGTTAATTTTTTGCTATGTGAATTTTCCCTCAGCATTTAAGAAAAAAAAAGCAATAGTTAACAAGGAAGTTACTAAGATGAATGTATTTGAATCCTGATCTCAGCCTTGCCATTACTATAAAATTGATTATAACTTTCTTGAGTAGAAGGAGTTAGAATTCAAGAACCACTTAAATCTGTTTGAGAGTCGAATTGTCATATAAGTACCACGCGCTAACCAATTGCACAACTGGAGCCCCTGAGAGTTGAATTGTTAAGAAAAAAAGCTTGGAGATACTGAATTTTTATAAAGATTTATGAAGACAGAGAACTCTTCCATTTGTTGATTCACTTTACGAATGGACACAATGTGAAATTCTAATTATTAAGGGGAGCAAAAAGCCTAGAGACACTGAATATTTATAAAGATTTATTTTTATTTGAAAGGCAAACTTAGAGAAAGATCTTCCATCTATTGATTCACTCCTCAAACAGTGCAGTGACAGAGCTAAACCAATTGGAAGCCAGAAGCCAGGAGCTTTTTGCAGGTCTCCCATGTGTGTGCAGGTTCCCAAGGTAGTGGGCAATTCCTACTGCTTTCCCAGGCTCATCAGGAGAGAGCTAGATCTGAAGTAAAGCAGCTAGGACCTGAATCGGTGCCCACAGGGGATGCTGGCACTTGCAGGTGAAAGATTAGCTTGTTGAGTAAAAGCCATGTGTGGCCTCATGTTCAAGTCAGGAATCCTGTAGGTAGCCTGTCCCCTTTTAGATTCAGAGACAGTCATCTGGTTGCTAAGGTGTCACAATGACAACATTCTTGAGTAATTCTCTGAAATGTGATTCTTACCTGCCAGGACCTGGAGGACTGAGAAGAGCGCGTCGTCTCTGTGTGGGGTAGGAGATGTTCAGCGGATGGTTTCTGCATCTCCAGCTTATATTCTAAAATATCAGATGTCTCTGCTGTAGACAAGGGGCCAGTTATAATTCACACTTTTCCCTATGGGCAACAGTGTAGTCTAAGGGAAGAATTGCTTTGGAATGTGGTCCTATGTGTTCATTCCTATTTTGGAAACCTAGAGGGATTGTAAGGGAGTTGGCCCCAGAATACCTGTGGAGCCCGTGGTCGTGTAAATCCACTTCTTGGAAGAATGCCTGTAGCCTGTGAGGAGAGCTATGACCTTGGGTTTCTGCTCAGATTTCATAAATCCAGGGAACAACAACCTGAACCACCAAGTTCAGAATCTGAAAGGGGAGGTGCTGAAGGCCATGGCCATGTGTGCTTATAACCTGGGTGTCCATGCTCTCATCTTCTATACAGCACCTCTGTAGACCCCCTCTTCTCCCATGATAGGAAGCCAATTTGATTAGTATCTGTCCCTGCAGGAGATGATGGCTTGAAGATGGACATGCTAGAGGACCTGGAGTCCCTGCAGTTTGAGTCTGGGGTTTCAGAGGAAGACCGTTCCTGGCTGTATTTGCAGGGCCGTTCTCGTGGCCTGACAATCGAAGCCTGTGCCCATGCAGTCTTCTTGTGCAAACTAGTCCATACTTTGAGGTAAGATAGGTGTGTGTGATAGATAATCTCACTGCTGACAAGTCAGATGTTAACAGATCAATGTGACAACCACTCCTGGTCTCAAAGGGCCAGGGAAGTCCAACTGTGGCTCTCATTGGTGGTGGATGAGTAGTGATTGCCTTTCAGTGGGTGGATGGACTTAGTAATTGTTCACCCATATAGTCACTTTTTGGGACCGTGAGCTTGCCATCCTTGACTGCTGCTGACTAACCTTTCCTTGTGTCTTGGCTGCCTCTGAGATCAGTCCTCTCTCTGGAAGCTGGTCTGATGGTGAAATGGTTTGCCACAGGGAAGCTACATGGTATTCTGCAGTCCCTGTAGCCAAATGACTTGTTTGAAAACAGGAATCTTAATTTGGGGTTTCTGATACCGTTCTTGGAGGTGGCTTTAGAACAGAAGTAAAAAGTTTGTGGGGGAGCCACTTACTAGAGTTAGGCTCCTGGATTCTGTTATTTTGGGCCTCTCCTGAGCATAAGTTATCTGACTTTACTTCTTCTTTTTTTTCTTTTTTAAGATTTATTTGTTTCATTGGAAAGGCAGATTACAGAGAGGAGGAGAGACAGAGAGGTAGACCTTCCATCCGATGACTCACTCCCCAAGTGACTACAACAGCTGGTGCTGTGCCGATCCAAAGCCAGGAGCCAGGAACTTCTTTCTGGGTCTCCCACGTAGGTGCAGGCAGACCGTCCTCAACTGCCTTCCCAGGCCACAAGCAGGCATCTGGATGGGAAGTGGATCTGCCAGGATTAGAACAGGTGACCGTATGGGATCCTGGCACATTCAAGGCGATGACCTTAACCATTAAGCTATTGCACCGGGCCCTGACTTCTTTACTTCTAAGTTTGTTTGTTTCTCTGATATCAGATTAACTCCTGGACCAGATCTGATTTAAAAGTGTGTGTAGATATGTGTATCCAGGGAGGCAGGCTGTGAGTGAAAAGGTTGATTGGTTTACTGATGATGCAAAAACGCTTCGTTTGTACTCAAGGTGACTGGTGAAAAACCAATGGATGCAACATCCAGGAGGCATTTTATGTTTAGAAGGATCAGGCAAGAAGAGAATCTTTTTTTTTTTTAAGATTTATTTATTTTTATTACAAAGTCAGATATACAGAGAGGAGGAGAGACAGAGAGGAAGATCTTCCGTCCGATGATTCACTTCCCAAGTGAGTGCAACAGCCGGTGCTGTGTCGATCCGAAGCCGGGTACCAAGAACTTCTTTCTAGGTTTCCCACTCGGGTGCAGGGTCCCAAAGCCTTGGGCCGTCCTCAACTGCTTTCCCAGGCCACAAGCAGGAAGCTGGATGGGAAGTGGAGCTGCCGGGATTAGAACTGGTGTCATATGGGATCCTGGCGTGTTCAAGGTGAGGACTTTAGCCATTAGACCACGCCACCAGGCCCAGAAGAGAATTTTTAACTCGAATATGGCTTGTGTTGCTTATGGAAAGCTTAGAGAATTTTTTAAGATTTATTTATTTTGGGGGCCCAGCATGGTAGCCTAATGGCTAAAATCCTACTTTGCTTTCTCCAGGATCACATATGGGTGCCAGTTCTAATCCTGGCTGCTCTACTTTCCAGTCAACTCTCTGCTTGTAGTGTGGGAATGCAGTAGAGGATGGCCCAAAGCCTTGGGATCCTGTATCTATACAGGAGACCTGGAAGAAGCTACTGGCTCCTGACTATGGATCAGCTCAGCTCTGGCCATTGTGGCTACTTGGGGAGTGAACAAGCAGATGGAAGATCTTTTCCTCTGTCTCTCCTTCTCTCTGTAAGTCTGACTTTCCAATAAAAGAATAATAATGACAGATAAAATAAATCTTAAAAAAAGATTTATTTATTTTTATTAGGAAGTCAGATTTACAAAGAGAGCCAGAGAGGAAGATCTTCACCTGTTAGTGAAGACAGCAGAGAACAGCTCAAACACTTCAGTCCCTGCCACCACCTGGGAGCCCAGGATAGCATTCTTGGCTCCTGACTTCATCCTGGCCCAACCTTAGCTATTGTAGGTATTTGGGGGAAATGAATCAGTAGATGGAAGATCTGTCTTCACATATCTATCTGCTTTTTAAATTAAAAAAAAAAAATTGAAAACCAACAATGTATGGTGAAAGAAAAGCCCTTATGAGAACTCCAGGAGCCAGTTAAGTTCAGATTGTGAACCAATATTTTTCTCTCTGTCACTGTGCCTTTGAAATAAATAAATCTTTAAAAAGTAACTAAAAAACAGCAAAATACATGTTGTAGACAGCAAAATATGCTTTTCTAAAAATGTTTTAAACAAGTTTTGAAAAGGCTTATGCTTTAGTTTCTGGAAAGTTTATTCAGGGGGTGCATTTCTTTCCCTAGTGATGCTGGGTACCCAGCACATGACCAAATGCCTCAGAATTGCTGCAGGTGCCACCCAGTTTCCTCATGTGATGGAGTGGTAAGTGCCAGAGGTTGACAGGAAGAGCAGGAGTATGTGCATATATTCTTGTATAAGCCTGTCTTTCCCTTCTGCAGAGAAACCTTAAATGGGAATCAAAGTATCGGAGGCATCACACCTGCATCACTGAACGTGGCTGCTGATGAACACGAAGAGCTAAAGGTGGGCATCATTGGAGGTGGCCATCTCGGGAAGCAGCTGGCTCGCGCGCTGCTGCAGCTCGTCCCTCTCCCCGCTGAGAGACTGCGGATCTCCACTCGGAGGCCAGAGGCCCTGGGTGAGGAGTAGCGTGTGATGTAAAGAGGGCTCAGCGATGCTGGGGAGGCTTGATGAAGCCGTCTTGAAAGCATTCCTTCAGAGAGGAACCTTGGGATGCAGCACGCTGGGTTTTTAGCTCGCTAACCTGTACAGAAACTGCAGTGATGGCTTTTAAACTCAGGTCTTCAGACAACTTGCCTGTCACTCACATGTTCTCTGTCCATCTTTCTCCCCGCACTCTTCCTGGCGAATGGCCTCACTGGGTCTCTGGTACGGGGATGCTTTCCACACAGACCTAAATCTTCCTACTGGGTCAGAAAGTTACTCAGAATCCTTCCATTGTGAAATCAAATCATTAAAATGCTGGGCAGGACAGAGAACATGCGCCCAAGGGATTTCCAGGGAAGATGCAAGTGTTTTGGTCTGGAAAGAAGTGTGAGTGACATGGGTGTATGCCTTTGTCAGTGTGCTTCAAATCTGTGTGTGGTGTTGGAGGGAAGTTACACTTCAGGGGGTGGGCATGGTGGGGCAGCACTTTACACCTCTTCTTGGGGTGCTTATCCCATATCAGAGGGCCAGGGAAGAAGTTATGCCTGGGCTTCCCAAACAGTTTTTCTTTTTAATTTTTATTAAAATTTTTTTTTCTTTCAAAGATTTTTATTTATTTATTAATTTTACTTGAAAGATTTAGAGAGAGAGATTTTCTGTCCTCTGGCTCATTCCCCAAATGGCTGTAAAGGCAGAGCAGAGACAGGCTGAAGCCAGGGAACAAGGAGCTTCATCTGGGTCTCCCACATGGATGCAGTGGCCTAAGGACTAGGACCAGCCTCTGTTGCTTTCCCAGGTACATTAACAGTGAGCTGGACTGGACATGAGGCACCCAGAGCATGAACCTGTGCCGGAATAGGATGCTGGCATTACATGTGATAGCTCAACCACTGTGCTGGACCCTTTATTATTATTATTGTTATTATTATTAAAATGTGTTTATTTTTATTGGAAAGTCAGATTTATAGAGAGAAGAAGAGATTGAGAGAAAGATCCTCCATCTGCTGATCCATTCCCAAAGTGGCTACAGTGGATGGAGCTAAGCCGATCCAAAGCCAAAGAGCCAGGAGCTTCTTCCAGGTCTCCTATATAGATACAGGATTCCAAGGCTTTGGGCTGTCCTCGACTGCTTTCCCAGGCCACAAGCAGACAAGCAGGGAGCTGGAAAGGAAGTGGAGCAGCCAGGATACGAAACAGTGCTCATATAGGATCCCAGCACAAGTAAGACTAGGACTTTAGCCACTAGGCTATAACACCAGGGTCCCCCTTTTTATTCTTTGGGAAGCAATATATTTATTAGTATGAGAATTACAGCTTAAAAAATTTTTTTAAAAAAATTCATTGTATTTAAAGGCAGAGAGAGAGACATGGAAACAGAGATGGAGAACTTGCATCTGCTGATTTACTCCCCAAATACCTGCAATAGCCAGAGCATGTGGGAATATTTTCTGATCCATTGGATAACAGGACTTGGATGAGTTTACTGGGATAAAACAGTGACCTTTGTCTTCTATTAGGTGGTGGTCCATCACACTGTTTCACTCTGCTTTCCTTTAACCTGTACAGCTGAATTCAAGAAACAGGGGGTCCGGTGCTCCTACCACAACACTGGTCTGGTGAGCTGGGCCAATGTGGTGTTCCTCTGCTGCCTGCCATCTCAGCTGCCTAACATCTGCATAGAGATTCAAAACAGCCTTGACAAGTCCTGCATTGTGCTCAGCTTTGTGGCTGCTGTCCCACTACCCAGGTATCTTTTTAGGATGAGAACAGACCTGGCAGAACTGTCCCAGTGTCTCAGACCTCGGTCTCTCCTGCTTCACAATCCCCTCCCTCTTGGAGTTAGTCATTCCCAGTAATGAGGAGAAGCAGAGGGACCCAGCCAACCTTTCTCCTTTTGTTTTCTCAATTTTCCCATGATCAGCATGGATAGTTGGAAGATTTTTATGCTGTGCAGATGTTCCCAGACTGCATTAGAACATTGCCTCCCGCCACTTAAAGCTGAATACTATTCCCATCAAAGACAAGGGAAACCACTAGTCAACAACATTGAAAGTTATATAAAGTATGTGTCCAGTCTTATTTTGATGGCCCTGGTTTCTAGCCCAGTATAGCATTCAGTGAGTGGTAGGTAGAAGAAAAAACAGTCCAAACAAATTACTGCCTGCAGCACAGACCTGGAGGTGTATTGCCTCTGAGCAATGTTTGTAGGGAAGTCTGTTGCTGGAGTTAAGTATAATGTCTTTTTTAAATTTTTGATAATTTTTACATGTTGATTAGGGTGATAAGGGTCAAGGGCTACAGGAAAGTGGGTGAGATCACCACTTCCACATTCTCTTTCTTTCTTTCCTGTGTCTGGGGAAAGAGGGAAGATAAGCAGAGAAGCCACAGCCAGCCTCCCAAATGCCTCTGCACCCTGGGTCCCTAATGCTCTGAGGGTTCTGCTCAAGAGGTTTCTATAGTTCAACACTTCTGAGTTACTGCCAGTCTCAACACTCCAAGCATGATGAAATCCACCTAGAGTCCACCTAGAGTCTCCATTTGCCCAGATATTCACTGCCAACACTTTGCTGGGGTGGATGCTCAATTTGCTTTGTCCTCCATCTTCTGTTGTGGTACCAAGTGTTCTCTGCAGATTCCATTGTAGTGCCATGTCTTCCATGTGCACTGTTCTGTGTAAGCCACTGAGGAGGCCCAGCTCTGACACATGCACTCCATGTTCAGACCATGGCACCTGCAATTCTCTCCATGGTTGGGGTTCTAAATTTAGTCATTCAGTTGGGAGTATCCCCAAAGAATCTTGATGTGGGGTGATCCCAGACTTGATTCTTTGTGTGCCTGGCAATACAGGGTCTGATTCAGTCTGTTGCCCAAATCAGCTTATTCATATGCTGGTAGTTGCAATTGCTGGGTCAGTTCTGTGTTCAGCCCTGTCTTCTACACAAACCTATGGGCGTTGCAGTCAGCGTGATCCTGCGTACCACACACCACCTTCACATACGCCAATGGGATTTGAAGCCTAGTCAGAGATACCCACAATAACTCCCACAAGGCCTGTTCCCTGCCCTGGTTCCTGTGCTTGCCAGTATATACATCAGACTGGTCCTGTTTGTCGCACATCCCATTCATACATGTCAATGGGCATTGAAGCCTAGTTCAACCCAACCAAGTCCCAGTCCTGGTTCTCATGCTCACCAGTGGGAGTGGCAATCCAAGAGAGAGGTAGCCACTGTTTCCCTACTAGGCCCACTTCTACTCCCAGATCTTGCACTTTCCAGATAGTTCTATAGCTTACCTTGACAGAATTTGGAACCCCCTCCTGCCCATGCCAGCATCTGCCAACTGATGCTGTGGCAAAGCCAAGCCAACCCACACCCCCACTCTGACTTATGCACCAGAAGGAACAGTCAACCCAGCATGGCTTTCCCCTGATCCAACATGAGACCAGCAGTTATCATAGCCCTGCCTGGCCTGGTCTGCCCCCATCCCAACTCACACTCACCAGGGGAGTGGTGGTCTAGCAGGGAACTCCTTGCATCCCCCCTACCAGGTTCACCTGCTCCTCCCTGGGTCTCACATGTGCTGGTTGGGTGCTGTGGCCCAGTCTGGCATGGCCCGCCTCGTCTTGCCTTGGTATTTGCCAGTGGGTGCTGTAGCCTGGCCGGGCCCAGCCCACTCCCAGTTCCAGCTCACACTAGTGGGGGCTTCAGCCTAGCCTAGCCCAGCCAGGCTCGCAGTCCTAACCTTCATGTGAACTGGCTTGAGCTGCGATGCAACCCGGCCCAACCCACACTCTATTCTGGTGCTCAGATTCATCAGTGGGTGATATGAACTGGCCAAACTCAGCTTACCCCAGCCTGCACCAAATGTATGCTGGTGGGTACCGTTCCCTAGCCTAGTCTGGGCTGCTCCCTATTGTTCTTGCATTCACCTGTAGGGACTGTGTCCTGACAGAGGAGTTCCCCAAGTTCCTCTATCAGAACCTCTCCCAATGTCAGATCTCACGCGCATAGGTGGGTCCATGAGCCAGCCCTATTTAGTCCACCTTGTGTCTTTTTTTTTTTAAAGATTTATTTTTATTGGAAAGGTGGACATACAGAGAGGAAGACCTTCTGTCCGATGATTCACTCCCCAAGTGAGTGCAACGGCCGATGCTATGCCAATCCGAAGCCAGGAGCCTCTTCCAGGTCTCCCACGTGGGTGCAGGGTCCCAAAGTTTTGGGCCGTCCTCGACTGCTTTTCCAGGCCACAGGCAGGGAACTGGATGGGAAGCGTGGCTTCCAGGATTAGAACTGGAGCCCATATAGGATCCCGGGCGTGCAAGGCGAGGACCTTAACCACTGCGCCACCGCGCCGGGCCCCACCTCGTGTCTTAACAGGAACAGTGGCCTTACCTGACCAACCCTCACCCATTCTGGTTTTAACTGTTGGGTGTTACAGCCCAGCCAAGCCTGATCCACACTCAAGACAAATCTCACATGGCTTAGCAGGGGCAGGGACCTAACCCAGCCTGTCCTACACCTACGCTGGTTCTCATGATCACCAGTGGGTGCTGGAGTCTAGCCCAGTCTGTTGCATCCCAGACACAGTCCAGACTTGTGCCTAGGTATATTGCAGCCATGTCCACACCAAATAGCAGCCCCCACTCTGGCATTCACACTCACCAGTGGGAACTACAACTTAGCCAGGGTGACCCCTTTGCTCCCCAACCAGGCATGTCCCTAGCCACAGAACTTGTGTGTGCCAGTGGTTACTCTGATCCAGCTTGGCATAATCCCTCACCTGTCTTGGTCTTTGCCTTTGGATGCTGTAGCCTGGCCTGGCCCAGCTGACCCCCAGTCACAACTCTTGCTGGTAGGTGCTGCAACCTGACCCTACTCAGTCAGCTCCCATCCCTGACTCATGCAAACCAGTAGGTGTGACAGCCTAGCCCAGCATGACCTGTGTTTCAACCTGGCTTCTGCACTTGCAGGTAAGCTAAGGCTTGCTTGGCTCTGTCCGGTCTGCCCCCTTCCAAAACCAACCCACACAAGCTATCTTGCCTAGCTTGCCTGACCTGCAGGCCTAGACCATGTGCTTACCAGCTGGAGCTATGACCCGCTAGGTCTACTCTCATGCCATTGGGTGCTAGGCCCTTGCCTGGCTTAGCCTGCGTTTCCATCTTGGCCTTGTATGAACTGGTGATTGTAGTGTCCCAGCCCGCCCCACATCCTGTTATAGGATGCACATGCAGGTGCTACAACTTGGACCTGCCAAGACTATTCTTCGTCCCTATACCTGTGAGTTTGGCAGATTCCACGGTCACACCCAGCTCAGCCCATCACCTCCCCAACTCTTGAGCTAACCAGCAGGACTTGTATTTCCACAGTGTTTGGCTCACATATCCCCCACAGAATCTACCCCCAGACCTGTTTCTTCTGTATGCTGGTTCATGACATGACCCTGCCTAACATGACCTATCCCCTGTTCCAACATTCAGTCTGGTACTGTGATATAGCCCTGCTAGACAGGCTCCCAGCCCTAGCTTTCATGTCGACTGGTGTGTGGTGGCCAGCAATATTCCATGCTAACAAGCCCTACTCAGGACTCCCATGTGGACTGGTGTATCAATCTGACCCATACAGATCTTCTAGACTCTCCCCTCCATACCACCAGGTCTCAGTCCCTTCACATACCTGCAAGTACAATGGCCCTGTCATTGGAAGTACACATACATTCCTAACGTAAATGTACAGTGGCCTTATCCACAGATGTCCCTAGGGTGTAATTCCTAACCCCAAAACCCCAAGACGGTGGGCAGCCAGTGGGTGAAGCCCGACATCAGTTGGCACTGTGGCCGCTTGCAAGCCCTGAATTCGCCAAGTGCTTAGCAGCAGTGACTGGGGCTAGGGCCCCAAGCATTGAATCTGGTCTGGCTTAGATGCTCCCAGCAGCCACCACGCTGCCGGGAAGTCTGTCCATCCAAGCCTTGAGGACGAAATTCTAAGCATAATGTCTTCCAGTCCTGGTACTACACAACATGTCTTGGTGGTTTTATTTCCAGATTGAAGTTACTGCTGAACAAGACCAGTATCTTGAGGCCTCAGTATCAATATCATCATCCTAAAGATTCTGTGAGAATCTGGGGCTCCCATAAGGAAATCATAGCTGCACTCCAAGATCCTGAGATTCTTCAGGCTACTTGCCCCTACAGTCTTTCTGGTAATGGTTAACTCCGACACTCCATTGAAAGTCATCTTCCCTTTGGCCTGTTGTCTATTGTTACCTTATGCAGTCTCTCCCTCTTTCTCTCTTTCTGTTTATCTCTCTCTGGGTACATGCGTTGGGTATAAAGACTTGACACATTGTGAACTATTTTAGTGCTGTATGGGAAGTGTTAGATGGATATTAAAAAATTCTTAATATTGAATTATTATTAATATTGAATATTATTGAATATTCAATCCTGATTGTTTCCTGGATGTTGTTGAAGAGAGCTGTGATTTTGTTTTGTGGCTTTTAATTTAAGGGGATGTATAGTAACTGTGTAATGGAGACTATCATATCCAGATATGAGGATATAATGCAATATGCATTTCTACTTCCAAATCAAAGATGCACTTACAATGAAACTGTTAAATTTCTCTCCCAATAGGATGGTGGACTCTACAATTGTCCATGCTCACAATGATGGACTTAGGACTGTTAATGAAGAACTCTACTATTGTAATAATATAGATTTGAGAGGATTTGGGGAGGAGGTAAGGGTAATCCCAGGGCCTATGGAATTGTATCATAAAATGATAATAATAAAAAAATGAAAAAAATACAGTGACAAAAGCCTATCTGAAAAAAGTAGAGGTATATGCTGTACTATATCTTCACTTAACAGTATAGTTGCCTTCATTATAAAATTCCTCTAGATAAATATATGTAAATACATGCTTACCAAAAAAAATAAAAATAAACTTGATTATTTGGTTCCTTTGAGGATGAACTAGAAATGACCAGCAGAGAAGAGAAAGCTCACTTAATGTAGTATCTGGGACTGAAATAGCTGGTCCTCATTCTAATCTTGTTCCTTCTCCTCTTTGGCAAGGAAAACTCTACAGACATCTTGGTTGTTAGCAATATCTTCATTAGTCCTATCTTTTGTCATAGCCAATACATGATCTTGTGTGTGTGTATGTGTGTGTTTGTGGTTTTATTTGAGATTTATTTAGTTGAAAGGCAGTGTAGGGCCCGGCGCGGTGGCGCAGTGGTTAAGGTCCTCGCCTTGCATGCCCAGGATCCCACATGGGCGCCAGTTCTATCCCGGCAGCCCTGCTTCCCATTCAGCTCCCTGCCTGTGGCCCGGGAAAGCAGTCGAGGACGGCCCAAGGCTTTGGAACCCTGCACCCGCGTGGGAGACCCGGAAGACGCTCCTGGCTTCGGATCGGCATAACATCGGGCGTTGCGCTCACTTGGGGAGTGAATCATCGGACGGAAGATCTTCCTCTCTGTCTCTCCTCTCTTTATATCCGCCTTTCCAATAAAAAATAATAAAAATAAATCTTTAAAAAAAAATAAATCTTTAAAAAAAAAAGGCAGTGTAGCAGAAAGAGAAAGAGATCTTCCATGCACTGCTTCACTCCCCAAATGGTCATGAAGGTCAGGGCTGGAACAAGTTGAAGCCAGAAACCAGAAACTCCTCCCTGGATGTCCCACATGGGTGGCAAGAGTTCAAGTATTTGGTCTGTCTTCTGCTGCCTCCCAGGCATAGCAGCAGAGACTTGAACTATTGTTCCAATAAGATGCTGGCACTGCAAGCCATGGCTTAACCTGTGGCATTGCAAAACACTGGCCCATGGAACATGTCACTACGAGGAAACAGGACTTCAGGTCATGGGACAGAAAGCGCTTGATCATCACAAGTTTTGTTTTCTCAGTCTGTGTTAGGAAAAAGGTGGCTGCTGCTGAAATCGGGGGGTTTGCCCCAGTGTTTCTACAACTGCTAACTGGTGTTTGCCTTTTTGATGTGCAGGGGGAATTAGCCTCAATATCAAATGGTTGGAGGGAGTGTTCTATGCAGCCCTAAACATCTGCACAGAGAAAAGCGTGGCCCACTCAAAAACAATGCTACTTATGAATGAACTATTTTTGTCTGCGCACTATGAAGAATGTGGGAAAGACACAAGATCTTGCCCCAAGTTTCAGTTAACAGACGTTGTCAACAAAGACTATGTCAAGAACTTGTCTGGGAATAGGTAAGTTGCCTCCTGCATTCTCAGGACATGCTTTCCCTTTGCTGTTTCGCCTTCTCTTTAACCACTGGTAAAAGTAATACATTTGTGTAAAACTACCATCTAGTGCAAAAATAAATGCCTACTTGTGCCTCCCAAATCTCATTTTTATAGATTTTTTTATCTCTAGGTGTTTTTTTTAAAGATTTATTTTTTTATTGCAAAATCAGATACATAGAGAGGAAGAGAGACAGAGAAGAAGATCTTCCCTCTGATGATTCACTCCCCAAGTGGCCACAAAGGCTGGTGCTGTGCCAGTCCAAAACCAGGAGCCAGGAGCTTTTCTGGGTCTCCCACATGGGTGCAGGGTCCCAAGGCTTTGGGCCATCCTTGACTGCTTTCTTAGGCCACAAGCAGGGAGCTGGGTGGGAAGTGAGGCCACCAGGATTAGAACCGGCACCCATATGGGATCCCGGTGCATTCAAGGTGAGGACTGTAGACACTAGGCCACTGTGCTGGGCCCGAAGCATCATATTATTATGATATGCATCTGTATCTCTTTCTATATGCTTGGGGTTAGAAATGTGGGATATAGTATATTTTTACTTGCTACTAGGGGCTTCAAAAATATGAATAATGCATATCATTTTTAAGAATAAAAAGATGATTCTTTTCATCTTACTCACAAGGCAGAGCAACATGCAGAGAGGGAGGGGAAAGCGGCAGGGAGGGGAGAGGGCTTCCATCTGTTTTACTCTCATAATACCCTCCCTGTATGGTCAGTGTTTGGGTATGCTCAAGCTTACCCAAGGTCCAAGTTTAGAATCCGTCTTGAGTCTCCCACATGGGTGGTCCATTCACTTGAACCATTATCTGTTGCCTCCCAGGATGCATTAGCAGAGAGCTGGATGAGAAGTGAAGGTGCCAGGGGCCCAGCATGATGGCTCAGTGGCTAAATCCTCACCTTGTACGCAGCTACTCTAGGATCCCATATAGGTGCTGGTTTGTGTTCCAGCTGCTCCACTCCCATCCAGCTCCCCCACTTGTAGCCTTGAAAAGCAGCAGAGAGTGGCCCAAAGTCTTGGGACCCTCTATGCACATGGGAGACCTGGAGGAAGCCAACCATCTGGCGAGTGAACCAGTGGATAGAAGATTTTTCTGTCTCTCCTTCTGTCTGTAAATTTGCCATTCCAATAAAAATAAACAAATATAAAGAAATGGATTCCTTGGAACCGCCTACATAGTTGATTTTATCATCTATAAATAGGGCCAAGTTTTATTTCTTTCTTCCAACCTGCACGTCTTTCTTTCCTTGTCTTAGTGCACTGCACTTGATGCACTTATTAGCTGTAACTTCTAACACAGTGTTGAATAAAAGTGGGGAAAATTAATAATTTTGCTGTACTTCTGGTCTTTTTAGTTATATGAAAACCTATCTGAGGGTTTTTATTTGAATTACTCTGTAGGTTAATATTTAACATTGTCCTATTTGCATTTGCCCATTAACTTTTATTCATTTCCCTGCACAGCTAAGGGAGGGTATCTTAGCAGTTAGATCTTTTCTTTACCTAAATTACATGATGCTGTTATGTATATTCCTTGTCAATTCAAGGAAGATATATACTGAAAATAGGATGTTGATGACAATTTTATAATCATTCTCTAATTATGACTTCCTCTGCAATTAGAGAAAGTTAATCAAAGTGTAGAAAATTACCGTAACTGCATTTAAGTCCATACATTGAATACTTCCAGCTGAACTTCTCATTTATGAACTTTATTTAGGTGGATTTTCCAAGTGGAACATAGGTAACTTTATTAGAGGAAGAGTTTAATAGCAAACCAGGTGTACTAAAGAGACATTAAAAAATCATGGTATTTATTTTGTTTTCACTGCAGGCCTTTCCCCTGGTTTGAGCTGACTACTGTGCAGCTCCGGGAAACTCCCTTTAGCCTGTGTGTCTCCTCCAGTGCTGCCATCCAGGACCACCTTACTCAGCTGTACTGTAACTCACTTGGCATCTTGTCAACCAAAGACCAGCCAACGGCTTCCACAGACTTCCCAGCCCAGTAAGAGATACCAGGAAGCAAAACTGTTTCCCCTTAAGGTTTGTTTACCAACACGTGTAGTCACGTGACTGCATTGGGCTTGAAAATTGTGGTGATGGCTCTTGAAAATGTAAAATAAAATAAGAGATTCTATACATCAGTATACTTGGTTGTCTACCTTTTAGAAACAAGTGGGACAAAAACTATAAAAAACTACAACCTAACTATACCTAACCTACCCTACCTATAACCTAACACACTTAGGTAAGCTACTTCCCAGAAAGCTTTGTTAATATGAATTCCCTTCTTGTTTTTTTTTTTTTTAAATATGCTTTCAAAGGTAGAGTGGCAGAGACAAAAGAGAGACAGAGATCAGTCTTTTCTCAGCTGCTTCACTCCCCAGATGGTCACAGTGGCAGGGCTAGACCAAGCCCAAGCCAGGAGTCAGAAACTCGTCTGGGTCTTCCACTTGGGCAGCAAGGACCCAAGACCTGAGCTATCTTCCCCTGCCTTCCCAAGTGCATTAGATGGGAGCTAGACTAGTGATGGAGCAGGGGACTTGGAGGGGCACTCCAAATGGGGTGTGCCACAGCATCAGTTCCCAAATTACTTCTCCTCAGAAAGCTAAATTCAACAAATTTCAAGGCTATTATTTGACAGTTATATACTGACTTGATTATCCTGTACTAGTATGGAGCAGGAAAATGATAATTTGAGTCACCTAACATTTTGGGTAGAGAAATAAATATATGGTAAATAATCTTTATTATCATATTTAATAATTATGTCAGTTATGCTTGACTGGTTTTTCCGGTACTATCTTAAAAAATGATTTCTTTTCATTACAAAGTCAGAGAGAAGGAGAGACAGAAAGATCTTTCATCCGCTGGTTCATTCCCCAAGTGGCTGCAACAGCTGGAGCTGAGCCAGTCTGAAGCCAGGTGCCAGCAGCTTCTTCAGGGTCTCCCATGCAGTGCAGAGTCCTAAGGCTTTGGGCCATGCTCTACTACTTTCCCAGGTCACAAGCAGGGAGCCTGAAGGAAAGTGGAGCAGCTGGGATATGAACTGGCACGTATATGGGATCCTGGATAATGCAAGGCAAGGATTTAGCCACTAGACTACCACACCAGGCCCTCTGGAACTATCTTGTTTTAAAAATATTTGAGGACCCACATCGTGGTCCAGCCTGTAAAGCTGCTGCGTATGACACTAACATCTCAGTTGGGTGTCAGTTGATGTCCTGGCTGCTCTACTTCCTATCCAGCTCACTGGTATTATGCTGCAAAAAAGCAGCAGAGATGGCCCAAGTGCCTGGACTCCTGATTCACATGGGAGACCCAGATGAAGCTCTTGCCTGGCCTGGCCCTGATGCTTGTGGTTATTGGGAGAGTGAGCCAGTGGATAGAAGAGCTCTGTCTCTCCCTTTTTCTCTGTAACTCTGCCTTTTAGGAGAGGAGAAAAAGAGATACTGATCTTCCATCCTCTGGTTCACTTCCCAAATGCCTGCAACAGTTGGGGCTGGACCATGCTGAAGCCAGAAGCCAGGTTCTCCATCCAGGTTTCCCATATAGGTCACAGGGGCCAGAGTCTTAGGGCATCTTCTACTGCTGGTCCCAGGCCATTAGCAAGGAGCTGGATTGAAAGTGGAACAGGCAGGACTTGAACCATCACTCACATGGGATGCTGGCATCACAGGAGGTGCTTTAACCTACTGCAGCACAATGTCAACTCTAAAACACAGTTTTTTCAAAATGAATGGCATTCAAATTTAATGACTAAAATGATTTTATAAAATACAGGTCTTATTCCTATTGTGAAAATTGGTCTATTTCCTGTGTGTTTTTCCAGTACTTTCTATCAATTAAGATAGAGCTGAAAACAGCAGGAATAGCCCCATAGAAGTGGCAGAGGATGCTACAGTCTATGGGTGAGCGGGATTACTGTGTGCTGAATGAGAAAATGCTTTAGAGCAAAAGCCATTCGCTATAGGAGTGCATGCAAATCATCATGGTCTTAGATTAATCATTTACATTTTGTTTTGTTTTATTTTTGCATAAGCATGAGCCACGCAAATTCAGTAGTAAGGTTTTAGAATGGTGAACCATTAAACCTTCTGAGTCCAGTTTGGGGGAAAAATAAGTTGATTATGATCAAATATTAATACTTAGAATTAATATTGATTTGATGTATGATTCTTGATCCCTCTCTTAGTAGGGGGAAACTAAGTTTTTTTTTTTTTTTTTTACTATTCATTGCGGGGAACTGAGCAAGGCACATCACTACCTTCCACATTAAGTTAACCCTGTAATTCTTGGGATTAAGAAATGAAACCAGAACAGAAAAGAACAATGAAATAGTGAAGTCTGTAAAACCATAGGGGAACTGGAGTCACTCAAGGAACAAGAAAGGCATAACAAAATTCATTCTGAGAAGTCCAGTCATAAGTAGACTCTGCCTGAATTCATTTTTAAAAAACATTTATTTGAAAGGCAAAGTTATGGAAAGAAAGTGGGAGACAGTGAGAGAGAGAGACATCTTCCTATCCTTTGGTTTATTCCCCAAATGGCCACAATGGCTGGGGTTGGGGAAACCAAAGCCAGGTCTTGCTTGTGGATGGAGGGGCCCAAGCACTTGGACCATCTGCTGCTGCTTTCTCAAATACATTAGCAGGGATCTGGATTAGAAGAGGAACACCCAGGATTCAAACCAGTATCCTTTGGAACATGCCAGTCCCCTGAGTTTCATTTTATACAGATCTAGAAGGTATCACATAAAAAGTTACGTAAGCAATCCCAGATCATATTTCATAGTGGTACTTGAATATGTTGTTTTAAAGGATACATACAAATCCAAGTTGATTTTTTAAAAAAATCTTTTCTCTGAGGGCAAAAAGCCACCTTTTTCTTAAAACATTTCCTTCAGGAAACGTGTAATTCTAAACATTGGTCTTGTGTTTTAAAGAGTATGTAAACCTTCAAAAGTCAGTTTTGCACCCAGGCCCGCTTGTGTGTGGGCACTTGGGGTCACCTTTCTGCAGTGTAGCCTTGAGGATGCCGCTGCCACATTTCACCCTGTCTCCAGGAACTTAGCCTGTGTGCCTGGTGTCAGTCCATTCCTGCTCGCTGTCAAGATGTGACAAGCTTTCCTTTGGATACAGATAATTAACATGAGTGCAGTGGATTCGATTTGCCTGTTTATAAGGGTGAGCTTTCTTTGTGCGGCCCCATTAACAGCTTGCCCGTGATATGCATCACACTTGTAGTGGTCACTCTAATGAAACAGCTTCTTCTCTGTACTAGTTTAGAGGATTTTCTGGGTTGGCAGGATATTTCAATTTTAGTTATACTTGCCCCCAACATGTCCCTACTATCAGGTGCATTTCTAGAATTTATCAGAAATTCTTATAGTTACCCAGAAAGATAAGTATTGCTGTCTTTGTTTTAATGAGGAGCTAAACTGAAACACAAATGAAGGGAAGGTACCGTGAATCAGTGAAAAATTGGGAATGCAGCCAGGAGTTCTAACTCTGAGCCTGAATGAAATGGCAAAACAGAAAAGCCCAAGAAGACCACACTTCTTCCCCCAAGGAATTGTGCGATTTTCTAGGCTAGGTAAAATGGCCTTCCCTAGGATGCCCCATTCTCTTCCAGGGCAGTTATTTCAGAAGCATAATCCTGTAATCTTGCTGCTTTGACAAATTCAGATAAGGTTAAGGCATCAGATTTTGCTCCACTATGGGCCTTCTGCTCTAAAAAGAGGCCAATATTGTCTCTATAGGGAAATCGGATGCTGCGTCTGAATAACGGCTCTTCAATTTGCAGTAGTTCCCGCGTGTGCCGAGAAATTGCCTGAAAAACAAGGATAGTTTTTTTTTTTTTAGATGAAATTAACCTGAAAACACAACAAAATCAAAGTTTTACTTTGTTTTCTAGGTGTTTTAAGTGCTAACCCCATAAATTACATCTATGGGGAAATGAAATAATAGAATAACATTCTTGGCTTTTTAGCCTAGTCTTCCCAAAATCAAGGTTTTAAGAAAAACATCAGGTGACTTATTAGCTTTTTCAAAATATCTTTTAAAAATGTTTCCAGAGAAAGACTTGGCCCAGCAGGTAAAGACTCAAATTGGGATGCGTGCACCCTGTATGGAAGAGCCGTGACTGAATCCCAGCCTTATTCTGGATTCTAGCTTTCTGCTAATGAATAATCCTTGGGAGACATCAGGTCATGTCTCAAGCACTTGGGTCTCTGGCACCCTAGCAGGAGACCTGGTTTAGTTCCAGGTTCTTGGCTGGGCCTGGCCCAGCTCAGGCACATTGTGGGCATTTGAGGAGTGGGGAGTGAACCAGTAAGAAGGAGCTTTCCCTGTCTGTTTCTGCTTCTCAAAAATACATACATACAGACAGACCCACTACTGGGTATATTCGCAAAATACATGAACATGGTGTGTCGAAGGGTTGCCTGCACTGCCAGGTTTGTAACAGCATTGTACACAGTAGCCAACATTTGGCATTAACCGAGGTATCCATCATCAGATGAATGGATAAAAAAATGTAGAGCATATACACCATGAAATTCTACCATTTGCAGCAAAATGGATGTGACTGGGGAATATCTTGCTGGGTGAAATAAACCAGACCCAGAAAGACAAATACCAGATGTTCTCCCTGTATGTATCAGCATTGTTGTAAATACAGTTTTGAAAAGCTTTGTTTTATGCCTTTGTCAAATTAATGGTTAATAACATACTAACAATACATCAAACATAGTTTTAATGATCTGGGATAGTTTAAAATGTACTGATTATGGATGAAATCATTTTTTTTTCATTCAGTTATTGATGAAAACTATTGTCTATATTTCCATCTAAAAAAAAAAAAAACAAGGAAAGGAAGAGAGAGAGAGAAAGAGAGAACAAAGATGCTTCCAGGCTCTTATTTTTTCTTTTAGATGAGCAATTTGGTCAGCTATAAGGGCAGTTAATATGTTCATATTAGGAGCCATGACTATATTCCTAAGGTTAATAAATAACTTTTCTGTATAGTTCAGTTAATCTGCAAGCAAGAAAAAAAAGTCATTACTCAAATAGTTACTTAAGTTGTTTGATTAAAAATAAATGTCAAACACTAAAAAGCAGACACTGAAGTTCCAACTGTTTCATTTGTACCTTTATTTGTATAATCTTTAAAAACTTTGGGGGTAGGAGTTGGTGTTTGGTGTGGTCGTGGAACCACTGCTGTGCTTCAGGGCCCGGGTTCAGTCTTGACCCTGTTTCCGGTGATGTGTTCCCTAGGAGACAGCTGTAAGAGCTCAAGTCCTTGTGTCCATGCTACCCATGTGAGGGACCCATATTGAGTTCTGGGCTCCTGGCTACATCTTGGCCCAGACCTGGTAATCATGGGCACTTGGGCAGTGAACCAGCAGGTGGAAGATACCTTTTTATCTCTCTCACCTTTCTACATAAAGAAGAAAAGATAAAAAAAAAAGTTACAATTCTAGCTCTATAATTTGTATTAATTGGGCAATATGTTAATAACAGATTAAATTATGGTCACCTTTTTAAATCTAGTTTTTATCTTATTTTATTTTTTAAGACAGAGTGATAGAAGCGGGAAACAGAATGAAAGACATCTTCCACCTGCTGGTTTACTCCTGATGGCTGCAATGACCTGGGCTGAACTGGGCAGAAACAAGGAGCCTGAGACTCCGTCTGGGTTTCCCACATGGATGATCATGTCTAGCACTTGGGCCATCTTCCACTGCTTTCCCGCGGCACTGGCAGAGAGCAGCCAAGACTTGATCCAATGCTCCAGTTTGGGATGCTGGTGTCACAGACCATTGGCTTAACCTACTGTGCTACAACATAAGCCTCCAATTTATAATTTTTTTTAAAAAGCTTATTGTCATTTTGTTTTAGAAACACACATACACACACACACACACACACACATGCATCTGCCCACTGGTTTACTCCTCAGATGCCTGCAACAGCCAGGCCTAAAACAGGAACCCAGAGCCCAGTCTGGGAATTCCGAATCTGTGGCAAGGACCCAGGTGATTGAACAGTCACCTGCCACCTCCTGGGATTAATGCCTGTCATTAGCAGAACCTGGATGAGAAGCAAAGCAGCTGGGAATCAAACCAGGCACTCTGATATGGGATGCAAGTATGCTGCATCCTAAGCAGCAACTTAACTGCCACATCAAATACTGACCACATCTAATTTTAAACTGTTATTTACAGGGGGGCTGGTGCATTGGCTCAACTGGCTAATTGTCCACCTCTAAGCATATGCATTCCATATGGGCACTGGTTCAATTCTGGCTGCTCCATTTCCCATCCAGCTCTGTGCTTGTGGCCTGGAAAACAGCAGAGGAAGGCCCAATGCCTTGGGGCTCTGAACTCATGTAAGGCACCCAGAAGAAGTTCCTGGCTTCAGATCAGCTGAGCTCTGGCCATTGCAGCCATTTGGGTAGTGAATCAGTGGATCTTTTTCTCTGTCTCTCCTTCTCTCTGTAAATCTGCCTTTTCAATAAAAATCAATCAATCAGTAAATTATTTATTTTGAAGCAATAAATGGAGAGGGGAAGAAAGAGAGAAGGAAGTCAGAGGAGAGGGATGTTTCATCTGCTGCTTTATTCCCTAAATGCCTGCAACAGTTGGGGCTGGGCCAGGCCACAGTTACATACTCAGAACTGCATCTGTCGGTCCGGGGCTGCAGCCTAGCCGCTAAAATCTTCATCTTGCACATGCTGGGATTCCATACGGGTAACGGTTCTAATCCCAGTGGCCCTGCTTCCCATCCAGCTCCCTCTTTGTTGCCTGGGAAAGCAGTAGATGGTGGCTCCAAGCCTTGGGACCCTGCATCTGCATGGGAGATGGAAGAGGCTACTGCTCCTGGCTTTGGATCAGCTTTGCTCTGGCCGTTGCAGCCACTTGAGGAATGAACCAGCTGATCAACGATCTTTCTCTCTGTATCTCCTCCTCCCTGTATATCTGATTTTCCAATAAGAAATAATCTTAAAAAAAACAAAAACACTGCATCTGGGTATGGTACATGGGTGGCAGTGACTCAGTCATTTAAGCCAGGGACCTTTATGGCTCGCAACGTGCACATGAGCAGGCAGCCTAAATCAGGAGTGAAGCTGGGATTTGAACCCAGGGACTCTGTTAGAGTATGTAGGTGTCTCAAGTGGCTTCCTAACTGGCAAATCCCAAACCCTTCAATTTCTGGTTTTAATTATAGCTAATTTACAAACATTGCTCTTTCAATTCCTATTTTGCATCTGGATAAGTGTGTTTCCATAAAGCCACTGCTAGAACACAGCCAAGGGGCATGTATAATGGATTTAAAAAAAAAATAGGGCCTGGCATGCAGTAGCCTAGTGGCTAAAGAGCTCGCCTTGCATGTGCCTGGATATTATATGGGCATTGGTTCTAATCCTGCCAGCCCCACTTTCCACCCAGCTGCCTGCTTGTGGCCTGGGAAAGCATTGAAGGACGACCCAAAGCCTTGGGACCCTGCACCTGCATGGGAGACCTGGAGGAGGCTCCTGGCTCCTGGCTTCAGATTGGAGCAGCTCCGGCCATTGCGGCTGATTGGGGAGTGAATCAGTGCACAGAAGATAGTCCTCTCTGTATCTCCTTCTCTCTGTATATCTACCTTTCCAATAAAAAAAAAATCTTTAAAAATATATAAAGCGGAGTGGTCACAGTTATAAGACAACAAAGCTCATGCTATAGACTACTCTGAACCTGACGCAAAACTGCCCTTTCGCTATGCATTTTGTATAAACTGATATCTTTCGTTTCAGCGTGGGGGGATCCAAGTTACTACAGGTAGTTCTTAAGTGTTCTTATTTGTAATTGATGTTGTTGCATCAAGTATCTTAAGCATTAACTGACTAGCAAAGGTAATTTCACGGATTCCCTGAGGTTTACAGATGATGCTTCTCCCTATCCCCCAAGGGACACTGCAAGTCACACAGAAATTTACTCTAGGTTGAGCATTCCTAATATGAAGTCCAAAACTTTTTGAATGCCAACATGATGTCCCAAGTGGAAAATTCCACACCTGACCTCATATGATAGGTTGTAGTCAAAACACAGATATGCTAAGAAGGCTGTATAAAATTACCTTCAGGCTATGCGTATGAGGTAGCTATGACATACAAATGAATTCTGTGTTTAGATTTGGGTCCCATCCCCAAGATCCTTATTATGTATATGCAAATATTACAGAATCTGAAAAAAAATTCAAACACATTTGATCCCAAGCATTTCAGATAAAGGCTACTCAACCTTTATTTGTATTTTGAAATTTTATTTTCATCTACTTTAAAGGCAGAGAACGAGACAGAGAGAGAGTGATCTTCCTGGGGCCAATGTTGTGGCAGAATGGGTTAAGCCAATGCCTACAATACCTGCACCCCATATGGGAACCGGTTTGGAGTTGTGGTAGACAGGAACCGAATAACAAAACTCTACCTGGGTCTCCCACATGGGTGACAGGTCCAAGCGTCATCTTCTGCCCCTGGGATTCATTAACATGGAGCTAGATGGGAAGCATAGTAGTGGGGACTTGCAAACCAGCATTCAGTGGGACGCTGGTGTCCCAAGCATCAGTTTAACTTGCCTCTTCACAGTGCCCATCCCTCAATCTTTATTAATAAAAAAAGAGCTACAGGTCCATTGAGGGCTGAGAGATGCCAGCACAATTTTAATGCAAGCAGTGAGTGTGATGGGAAGCTACTGTTATATGTAGGAAAGCTACTTAGGAAACAAGAAATAGGAATCTAAGAATTTCTCCTCTAATTTGGAGATTCTTAAAGCATGCCTGAGGTTCATCAGTAGACCATGAAGATCCCCTGATGGCTATAAGCTGGTCTAAAACTGCCCAAGTTCTTTTCTTTGTGATGATCAAGCAGTAAACAATAGACTTTATTTCTGCCCAAAGCAGAATAACTTGCTAGTAATTTATTTAAGTTAGTAAGGATTATTAGAAACATGCATTCATGAAGCAAATGATTGGTTTTCTAAGATTCTTAGATCATATCCAAGGCCAGTGGCCCATATTCAAGGTTTATACAACTCCTACTTCCTCTGGCACCTATTAGAAATGGGTTTTTGAAAAAAAAAAAAGACTTATCATTGCTTCATGTGTTGATTATGGTTGTCAATGATTGCGCTTCTTGCTTGTAAATTTCTGATGGTTTTTGTTTCCTCATTACCAATTTATGTGTGTTTGTTTAGTTGCCTTACAGTATGTAACTATGGACATTTGATTAAGTGGAACCTAAACTTTACTTTAAATCTAGAGGTATAATTGTGTGGTTCACATTCAGCAGATTTAGAATTTGAACCACACAATGATGTGCTTCAAGTCTGGTTCATTCATAGCAACTTGGATTAATCCTAAATGCATTTTGCTAAAGAAAAGAGGCCAAACAGAAAGGCTACACGTTATTTGATTCTATTTATGGACCATCTTAGAAAAGGTGAAACAAAAAACCAGATTGGGAATGTTCAGGCATTTTTGGCTCACTACAAAGGGAACAAAGGGAGATTTTAAATTTGTGCAGACTTTTAAAATCTCAGGTAGAGGAGGAAGCCAGGATAAACTATGGGTTATAAAGAAAGATATATCTTGTTGACAAGGGTGAAGAAAGAAGCAGATACAAGGAACTTTTACCTTGGAAAGTAGTGTTTTGTCTAGCTACTGTAAGGCTCAAGGTAAAAAGCTGTACAGGAATATGGCATGATTTGGTACATTTGCTCTCATAGTTACAGGTCAGCAGAGCCAGGCTGTAAATCAGCAAGAGAGTTTGTGGAGCAGGAATAATGGGAAAGTTAGAATGAGCTCCATGATACTGGACTACAATCAGAGAGATCAACATGCATGTGTATTTAGTTTCATATGTTTATCTTCAGCTGGATTCAGTATTAAGACAGGTATTTGTGTAGCCATGAATTTCTATAAATACAGATTTTGGGCGTCATTCTACTGAGAGAAACTAAAAACAGTGACACTCTGGGAACAAAAATCCCAATGACTGCTCATTTCCTGGCTTTTAATTGCCATTCTCTGATCAGAGCAACCAGGGCTCCTTGGAGAGGTGGCTATTTCTGATGCTGCTGTAAGGAAAATACAACATGAGCCTGAGCAAACTTGTAGAGCCAGGAAGTAATGAGATGCTTTAAAAAAGGAGGAGGAGAAGGAGGAGAAGAAGTTAAAAAAAAAAAAAAGACACAGAAGCAAATTTATTTATGTTTCATCTGCATCTTGAAACATTTATTTGGGGGGCAGTGGCTAGGGGTGTAGAAGAAACAGACACAAAAGCTCCCATCTGCTGATGCATTCCTCAAATGCCTGCAGTGGTGGGGACTGGGCTGGGGCCAAAGCCAGGAGCCAGCTAGAGCTGGGGCCAGAGCCCAGAACTCAGTTCTGATTTCCTATGTGGGTGGCAGGGTCCCACCACTGCCTTGCAGAGTCTGTATTACCAGGAAGCTGGAATTGGGAGTTGCACCAGGATTTGAAGCCAGCTGCTCTGATACGGAGCCTGGGCATCTTGGCCATTATCTTAACTGGTAGGCCAAACATCCAGGCCAAAAGAATGTAAGAGCCTATTTAAAAGAATTCCCAGGGGTCACAGACGAAATTGAGCAACAGAATAAATACCAGCAGTCTTGGGTTATAACTCAAAGCATAACATAACAATCTCTAAGTCCACATGATCTAAATGGCTGAACAGATTAAAAACAGGGAAGAAAGGACGACTAAATATAGAAAAGTTCTCTACCAGAAAGTCCCAGTGAAACACAGAAGGAATGAGTGAAGCAGAAAATCATCTTTAGAACAACATGGTAATGAGAGCACACAAGATCCACTGCTGAGAGCTGAAATTAGCAAGCAAAACTTTAAGGAGAAGCAGGGCATCTGCAAAATGTCATACTATCTTCCCCAGCACACTTATTACTGTGGCATTTTACTGTATGTCTGTGAACTCTGACACTCCTCCCTCCAGATGTAGAACTCAGTTCCCCTCTCCCTGAATGTGGGCTGGATGTAATAACTTACAAGAAGGCTAAGGAGAAGGAAAGGCAATAACTTTACAATGAGGAAACTTAACCAGGTGATCTGATCAATATTTCTAGCAATAAATCATGTTGGCATCTCTCCCCTTGACAGGAGGAGATGAGGTACACTCATCATGTGCTGTTGTCTTCTCCCAAATCCACAACTGCGGTCTAGTCATGGGGAACCTCAGGCTAAAATGGAAAGGAATCTCTAAAGTACCTGATATCACATCTTTAAAACCATCAGGGTCAAGAATAACAATGATCCCGAAACAGCCATGTGTTGGAGAAGACCAAGGAAACTTGAGAACTAAGTACACTGTGATAGCTCAGATCAGGTCCTGGAAAATCAGCCATCAGGCAAAAACGCAGAAATCTGGATAAAGTCTGTAGTTTAGTGGCACAGGTCCACACCGAGGTTAGTTTCAGATATTAACATTAGGGGAGGCTGGGCTAAGAGTATACAGAAACTCTGTACCATCTTTGTAAAACCTTTTGTAAAACTGAAATTATCTAACATTTTTTTTAAACCTTTGCGTGTAGCGATACTCTACTGCTGGGTTGTTGCTATTAATTTATGCTAAAGAGTTTGCAGTAGGCCAGAGCAGTAGAATTTCTGCGACTGAAGTGTCTATAAAGGCATTCTTTATGAAAAGGGTGTATACAAAGGAATAAGTCATTTAACTATGTTTTTCTCTGGATATTTATTACAGTTCTTTTACTCACTTGCTTTAGTGAATAGTTAAAAATAGTTTGAGAATGAATCTCTAAGAGAGAAAGATGAAGCATGTGAAACATTACATTGGCATGTCCCTGGAATTAGTAAGACGAACTTTCTCCATCTACCCCTCACCCTTTTTAATATTAATTTGAAAGGCATAATATCAGAGAAGAAAAGAGAAAGAAACTTGCTTTGTTGGTTCACTTCCTGAATGCCAACTTCCGCTGCTTTCCTAGGCCATTAGGAAGGAGTTAGATTGCAAGTACTGTGGCTGAACATGAACCAGCACCCATAGAGAATACCCCAGCCATAGGTGGTGCTTTACCTGCTATGCCACAATGTTGACCTGCAATGTTAGCATATTAACCAGCATTTTACCAGCTAGGCGAATTGCCTGCCCTTAGTTAGCTATTTTATGTGGTTCTTGTCTAATATACTTTGGATGACTTGAATATTATGTTACTCTAGTAATCTCATGGAAATTGACTTTGATGATAGTTGTTCCAAAGTTTGCTGATTCACATCTGTTAGTATAAAACACACAGACCACAGGGTTCATCACTTCCTTTTGAGAACTTCAGAAGATTTTCAGACCTTCTGTTTTTTAATGAAATCAGATAAAGTAGAACTAGAATTTTTAATACTGCATGTGGATTTTATATTTTGGGAATTTGAACATCAAAGGAGTAAAATGAATTGGCAAGCTCATAAAAATGCCTTTTTTTATGACAAAAAGCTGAAAGTCTTTCTTGGTACTTAAATCTTTTTAGTATTTGGATTATAAATGACTATTTTTCAAAATCTGCTCCTTAATTTCATTTAGAAAATTCAGTATAGTGTAGGTATAAGTAGAAAGTATAGCTCAAAAACACAAAGGGTGTCAATTTTGACATAAAAAGAAGGGGTCTATCGAACAGTACTTGGTAGATCTGTGAGGGCAAAGTTGTAAATACCAAAGTCAAATAAATGATCTTACCCTCATTATGTAATGGAAGTGCATGGTCACAAAGATGTTCCTTTAGAGAGGCAAAACAATGTGGTGTAGTGGTGTAAGCAGAATAGAGGAGATGGGAGTGGGCACAGTGGTTAACAGTCACCACTTGGAATGCCTGCATTCCATATCAGAGTGTCAACAACAGCTCCACTTCCAGTTAAGCTTCCAGGAAGGCAGTAGGTGATGGCTCAAGTACTTGGGTCTGTGCATCCAGCCTGGGAGACTGGAACTGAGTTCTGGCTTCCAGCTTCAGCCTGGAACAGCCTTGGCTATTGTGGCCATTTGGTGGGCAGGTATGGTGAACCAGCAGATATAAGATCCAGCCATGTGGTTATGTGAATCAACAAGCATATTTTAAGACTACATCTGCCTGTCTGTCCATCTGTCTCATATGGGAAGCTGGCCTTGCAGAAGGCAGCTTCAACTACCATACCACAACATTGGTCCGTCAAGTGGTATGTTAATTGCCATGTCGTATGGCTTGTTCTCTAAAATGTTCTTTTCTATATATAATTTTATACAGTGAATTATCAATATCAACTTTATTTTTGTTCAAAAGGCAGAGACAGATCTTCTACTCACTGGTTTACTTCCTAAATGTCCACAAACAGTGGGGGCTGCGCCAGGCTGATGCCAGGAGCCCAGAATTAATATAGATCCTCTATATGAGCACCCGGGATAAAATACTTGGATCTGGAGCCAGCACTCCAATGCAGGAACCCTCAGATGGGGACCTTAAAAGCAGGAGGCCTCCACAGGATTCTAGGTCTCAGACAATAAAAGCTCTGAAAAGTGGGAATGGAGAAAATGAGATGGCCTCAAGTGCCAGGGAAGACACCAACAGCTGCGTGGATCCAAGAAGAGGGAGGAAGCTACCATGGAGAGCTGGGGGGACTTGGCATATGATCACAACCTCAGCAGCACTTGGAAGAAAAAGAGGCAAGTTGGAGACAGACGGTAGCGCTGCTGCAGCACTCTACTGGGAGACCCTTTGTCCACAACTCACCTTCATGTCCTCAAAATCCGTTATCCCCATCTGAGGGAGGTTGGAGCAGTTGACATGGATGAGTTTTCGGCCACTGATGAAGTTTGCAGTGAAGCACTCCTGTTGGTGGGAGAACATAACTCAAACACCATGAATAAAAGGCAGGGAGGGCAGGGAAGAGGGATGCAAGCTCAGCGTGTCATTACTTCCATACTGAAAAAAAATTCAATTTGTTTTGTCTCAATAGTTCCATATTTTCCCGTATCCCCCATCTAAGCCTGTGATTAAATTTCATACTGCTGTTTAAGTTTCTTTCGGCAGCTGCCACCAGTGACTCTTCATGTCTTCATCACATTCTTAAACACAGGAACTACAGGTTTCACAGCTCATGATGTTTCATGGTAACCTGAAAACATGGCTGGCAACAGTGAAATTAAGATTCTTACAATACCTGTTTCATAAAATGATTTTGGGTTAATAGGATGGCTTTAGTACTCTCAGGTGTTTGTGATACATGTAACATATGAATCCTTGGGAGCAGACACTGAAGGATTTAACAGTAGAAGTTCAAGGTAAAGGAGTTGCCACTCAACAAAGTAGCCAAAAAAAGAAAAAAAAAAAAAGCCCAACTTTGGGCACAATCTACTTAAAAATATAAGTGCACGAGTGTTTATAATTCCTTGGTCTTTATTCAAGGATTTCAGAGGAGAAATCACTAGGCTGAGCAGTATGAACAAATTTGTGACCCTTCTTTACTTTCCCAAATACAATAATTAGCAGTGGCAAGGCCATAATGAAAATCCAAGCTACCTTTAGCACAGTCTAGAACTTTTCTATATCCTGGCTGGTGAAGAAGAACGAACTCAGGTAAAGAGGAATGTAGGGAACAGAAGATGGAAATGTGGGATTTGAAAAAGTCACTTTGGTATACCTTGTATTGTGGGAAGCCTAACTCGCTAATCCACTCTGCCACTCTCTCCGGACTCCACTTGAGATAATCAAATTGTGGCACAAGTCTTTCTTTTGGCTGGATTCCTTTATCTTTAGGTCCTGGTTCCTGCAATTCTTGGGATGAATCTGTAGTCTTTTTAGTAAGGTCTGTGAGTTCAGGCTGTGACTCTACGATATACACGTTGGAGTAATGTGACTGAACAGATGGAAGCACGCTTTGAAGTTCCGAATAATACTCATAATCTGTAGAAACAGATATGACTTCACTTCCTCTGTCAGGCTCTAAGGCAAGGTCTGTTCTAAGGCTCTCAGAGTGCTGCAGCTCCTCCTCGTCTGCAGATTTGATGGGCTCGGGCCTGTCTTGCTTGGCAAGTTCTGCAAGTGTTTCTTTCTGTTGGGTTTCCTCTGGTAACTCTAGACTTCTCTCAGTTGGCATGGCTGCTGTCTTCTCTTGAGTCTCTGGCTTGGTCTCCTGTGGTGGCACTTGACCTGTGCCCTCAGTTGATTTCTGTAACAGTTCTTCCTTTGGAAATTCTGGCTGCATCTGTTCTGGTGTTTCTAGCTCTTTCTCTTCAGCGGACTCTCCCAGTGTCTCCTGTGTTTCAGCCTGCTGTAGCAGCTCTAGCTCTTCAGTTGATTTTCTTTGCCTCTCGATTTGATCTTCTGATTTATTGTCTTCTGTTTGCTCTAGAACTTCCTCAGTTGATTTTGTTCGGGTCTCCTCTTGAACTTCTGGCCTGCTTTCCTCTGGAGGCATTAGACCGGCATCCTCTGAAGACTGTTCTTCCATCCCCTCTTCTGACTCTTCACCTGTGTCCTCTGGAACTTCTGATCCCGTCTGTTCTGACAGTGTTGGACTTGGTTCCCTCGATCTTTCCCCGGCAAATTCTGACGTGATCTCTTCTGCTGGCTCTGCAGCTTTCTCCTCCATGGACTGTCTCAGCTTGTCGTCTGGAAACTCTTGTGTTTCCTCTGGAATCTCGGCTCCGGCCATCTGGGCTGTCTCTAGTGTCTCTTCATCCCCTGTTACTGATCCGTCACTTGGGGAATCCTCTCTGATCTGCTCTGGAGGCTGCACATCCGTTTCTGCATGTTGTTCGCTAAGTGATTCCTCTGGAACCTTTAGTAGCTCAAGTATTTTCCCACCGATTGTGGCCGCGGGCATTTCGGAGGATAGCTCCGAATCCTCCTCTGTCTCCGTGCGAACCTCTGTAACATCTGATTTCGCCTCCTCCGATGGCTCCAGGTCGGTTTCCTCACGCTGTTCATCCCCGGGCACCTCCAGATCCTTGAAGATCTCCTTGTCTGTTTCTCCTGAAGTCTCTGACTTGACCTCTTGGGGAATCCTTTGTTCCGTTTCGCCAGACAGGTCGGTCCCAGCGTCGGGAGCAGTGTCTTCCTCAGGCGTCCCGGCTGATAGTGGCTGTCCACTCTGAGTACTCTCAGGCGCCTCCTCTTCCAAGTTCTCGCCCTGGGTTTCCAGCGGCGGTGGCTCTTGGTCAATCTCTGCGGGTGGCTCCGCGTCTGTCTCCGCCACAGTGTCCGTTTCGGCATCTTTGGGCAACTCAAGAGGTCTAGGCAGTTTGAGTGTCTCAGGCTCCAGCGTCTCTTCTGGGCCAACGTGGAAATCTTCTGGGACTTCAGCCATTCTGCAGGTTAGCGGACGCGCCCAGGCCTCCTAGCAACCCCAACTTCCGATAACGTCTCCATGGACACCACGATTTCCGGTAGCATCTTCCTGAATTTTCTCCAGGTTTTGTTGGTTCTTCCAACTCCGGTTTTAAGCATTGGCCATCCACACTACAAAGTAGCTTTCCCTCCGGCGTCCGCATCGCCAGCCTTCCCCGGCCCGTGCTCCTGGGGCCGCCTGGGAGCCGGGTGCGCTCTGCCTCCCCGTCCCCCGCACCCTCTTTCCGGCCCCTGGCTGCGCTCGGCTCTTCTCGGCCCGCTCGCTCGGCCTTCGGCTGTTTCCGGAGTCACTCGGCGACTAGCGGCGGAATCGCTCCGGCGCGGGCTTGCAGATGTCGGACCAGCAGGCGGCTGAGGAGCCGGGCGTCTGGAGCCCCGCAGACCGGCCAGGGTCGGCGGGCGGCGTCGGGAGAGACGGCCTGGGAGAGGAGGGAAGCCAGGCGGCGAGCTCAGGTACGCAGGGCCGGGACGCTGGCCGCGGGGCTGCCCACCGGCCTCGGGGCCCCGCACTCCGGTGCCAGCTCCGACGCGCGCGCGGCCCCCGACCTGGGCAGCCCCTTGGCGCGCGCGCGGGGCTGGGCTCCCCAAGGGGGCGCGACCCCCTTTGCCGCCGCCGCTGCTCCCACCCGGGCCCTGCGCTGCGCTCCAGGGTGTTTTCTGCTCCTGTTTCGAAATGCCTCGGTTCTTGTCCCGCCGCCTACCCTGGACGGTGGTGTCGGGGTTGCTCTGCGCCTTGGCCCCCTTTGAGCCGAACACGGGAGCCAGGGTCCGAGTCGCACCCACATTGGCTGATTTTACCCAGGCTGCCGACCCGCCCCCCGGCTGCCCGCCCCTGCTTCTGGCTCCTCACCTCTCCGTCCCCTGCCCCAGCCTTTCCCCGTGCTTCTGCCCCCATCCGGGCTGGCAGCCTCGCCTCCTTCTCTCCCAGAAGCTCGTTCGGCCCTGGCCTCGGTGCAGAAACAGCCGCCTTCCTCCCAGCTTGTGGAGGGGGAGGGATGGAAGGCAGACGTCCAACAGGTCGCCTGCGGCGGTCTGTTGTGGAGTGGACGCAGTGGTCCAAGCAGAGCAGAGATGGAGGCTGGAGCGGGAATGGTGGCGATCCCTCGTGCTCCGAGCCTGTCACCGGCTTGTTCGGGACATTTCCAGGCTCCTCCTGTTCACCCCACGAGGGGACGGGTGGAGGGGAGAGAAGTAGCTTCCGTCAGGAGCGAATGTTCGTTAATTCTCCAGGTCTGAATTTCGGCGAGACGCCATGCTGGGGGAGGTGTTAGTGACCGAGGCACCGCTGGGGAGCTGGTGTCTGGAGTGGAGCTGGGTCGTCAGTCTACTTAAGTGACTTTGAGCCGATCACTTCCCTGTCTCCCTTTCCTGGGTCCTGGCAGTACCTGCCTCTAGGGACGGACTGTTGGGGGGCTCACATGTGTCCCTGCATCTAAGGCACTTGGAGTGGAGCCTTGGGACACTGAGTACCCACAGTGAGAATAAGGTCTCCGGTTTTGCTAACATTCCTTTGCCACCCAGGAAAGTATTCTTAAGCATATCTTATTCAACTTGATGACTTTCTTCTCTTCATTTGTACCCCCAAATCTTTCCTCTTGGAATGGGCTCTCTGTCTCATCTGTGAGTCACCAAACTTTTTCCTGAGCTTCTATGTCCTTACTTTAATTTATGCCTTTCCCCCCCTTTACTATGTTATGTCTTGCATTGTTATAAATTGATGACCTATTTAAATATAGCGATAGAAATTCTAAACATAACAAGCCAGTAACCACTTATAAAAGTACGTCGTAAACACCTGTTTTATGTCGTAAACACCTATTTATGAACTAATCATGCTTTTACCTCCTCTTTTGGCCCTCATGTATTTATGGCAATCTGCTCAAGTATTTTAACTAGAAAAATCTTTTTCCCCCCACTAAGGATTTGTTTTATTAATTTGAAACACAGAATTAGAGAGGAAGGGAGAGAGGGAATCTTCCATATGCTGATTCACTCCCCAGATGGCCACAATGGTCAGGCCAAATCCAGGAGGCTGAAACTCCATCCAGGTCTCGCTTGTGAGTGGCAGGAGTTCAAGTGCTTAGACCACCTTCCACTGCCTTCCATATGCATTAACAGCTAACTGACTCAGAAGTGGGGCGGCCACTGTTCAGAGTGCTGCCCTGTGGAATGCTGGCATTGCAGGAGGTGGCTCTCCCTGACATGGCAGGAGGTGGCTCTCCCTGGCATGGCAGGAGGTGGCTCTCCCTGACATTGCAGGAGGTGGCTCTCCCTGGCACACCATACCGTTGGTCTTTAGAAAGACCTCCAGGTCCTGCAGGAGTACATTGGGTGGTACCACTGCTCCCCCAGGGCGTCGGCAGGCATGCATTCAGCTACTTTCCTTCCTGTTGTCCTCAGAAAGCGGCTGGCTTAGGTTTCTGCCATGCAGGGGGTTGTGATTGCAGCGCAAACTCTTCCTCTTGAGGTATAATATATTACTAATAAAATTACAGTAGTGACAGCCGTAGGTATTAGATGCCAGGATGTAGAAAAAGATGCACTTATGTTTTCTCATTTAATCCTCTCAGTGATCATTTTCTTGCCATTTTACAATGGAACAAACTACAGCTGAGACAGATGAACTTATTTGTCCCAATTAGCTGTGAAGTCTTTTTATAAGACATTATCACCTGTCCTAGAGCTCTTTATACTGTGTGGCCAAGGTTCTATAAATCCTTGCTGAGTCCGATGATTTGGAAGTGAGAAATTATGGCTGAAATACCCAGGAAGCATCTTGGTATTGGAACAGTGGTTCTCTGCCAGGGGCAGCTTTGCACCCCCAGAGGAATTTCAGCCATGTCTGGAAATATATTTTGATAGTCACAGTGAGGGCAGCTGTTGGTGACATAAAAAAAAAAAAAAAAAAACATAGGCTGGAAATGTGGCTCAGCATCTTGTTGGACCCAGGGTGGTCCACACGGTGAGGAACTGCCTGCCCCTGGGGGTCGGAAGTGCTGCTTCAGGGGATGCATTTGCAAAGCTGCGCAGAGTGGCTGCGTTTAGCATGGACCCACCTGAGCTGTATGGGCTGAGGTGTAGACCTCAAATAACTGCTTTCAGTGAAGAGATCACATCCTCCTGCCACCTTTTAGAAAATGGTCCAATAAGTAAACAATAAAGAGCCGAGGAAAAAGCAAAATTCAAACAGTGTTTGTCACCCTTCAAGGGAAAAGAGCAGGGAGAAGGGAAGTGGAATACTCAGTTATTGAGTTCAGGATCTTGGTCAGTGTCCCTTATGCCTTTGCAAGTGGAAGAAGGCATTGCGTGGAGTCTCTGGAACCTGTTTTTAACAAGTGTTCTCTACAGTGAATGCCTTTGAAAGGCCTTCATGTTCCTGACCCGAGGTTTTCCCAGAGGAAGAAAAGGGCTTAGCTCCTTCGACACTGAGCCCTCCAGCGTGCAAGGCGTTCTTTCTGCTCGTGAACTGTCATTGTTTTTAATGGTCTTTTACTGGGCACCTGGGTTCCTCAGCTCCCAAGAGGAGAGAGGAACCGTGTTGTACATGGCGAAACCCTCTGAGGTGTGCATGTTGCGTCACTGAAGGGCAGGTGGCTTTATTTATTTTTTTAAAGTTATTGTTTGAAGTTAAGGGCAAGTAAAAGACCAGATCTTGGACTCAGTGTGGTGTGTGTGACCTCAAGAGCTATCACTCCATTTTGACATTGAGCTCTAGAAGCAAGTCAGGTAACCTTGCTTATGGTTCTATAAAGAAGGACTCAGACAAGCAGCAGGTCAGTCAGCAAGGACAGAAATGCCCCTTCTCTGGGGCTCATTCAGTTTTACTAAAATTTCAAATTCATGGCTTCCCCACTGGGTGGTAAAAGAATGGGAAGTTAGCCCAAGAGCCCTTGTTATGTTTTGTTTTCACGTTGGGGTTTTATGTTAAGAATCTGTCTTCCTGTAACTATTTTTTTCTTACAGCGGTTGTGTTTGTGCAGTGTTAAAATAGTAGCTGATTTGCCATTTTCATAATTCACAATGTCCAGCACCACCCAAGCTGGGGAGCTGCTGGGGGTAAGTCCTGTGCTTAAAGGTTGAGGAGTAACTGCATGGCTCGGTCATGGGGTTCACCAGGACCGTAAAATCCACTCATTTGTTTATGTGTCCGCCTGGTGAGTCTGTAAGGAACACTAGGAGCACTGCAAGAAGGCCAGCTGATTGCCTTGTAGGGGCCTGTCGCAAGAAGAGGAAGGCTGCGAGATCTATTCTAAAGAACTCTGACCTCGTATTCAAATGCTTTCTGGGGGGAAAAAACACACACAGCCTGCGTTTTGGTTCTCCTTATCGCCTGGCTGAGAAAGCACAAACATAGAAAAGCTTGTCTTCAGTGGCATGATCAGAATGTCTGAAGCCATATTCTGGTGATACAGGAAAATGAAACATGTTTTTAAAATTGTTAAATGAAAATAAATTATTTTAAGAAAGTTTCATTTTCTCCTACTATATTTTACGCCATCAGTTATAAAGAAAGCTAATCTTAATTTTCTATTTTTCCTGTAGCTTTCATTGTTTCCAAGACTGACTGGTTTGGAACCATAAGCAATGATTTTACCACATCAGAGGTTACCATTCCAATGTTATAGGATTGCTTTTTTTGCTTTGACATTTAAAACTTTGTTTCATTATAAAAAACACATACTGCAAGTTTCATGTGTCAATCTTTTAAAGATAGAACAATAAATAGAGAGATCTGTCTTCCATCCCTCTTCCATCTGCTGTTTCATTCTCTAAATGGCTGCAACAGCCAGGAATGGGCCAGGTCAAAGCCAGGAGACAGGGAGCCTATCTAGGTCTCTCGCATGGGTGACAGAGACTCAAGTAGTTGAGCCACCATCAGCTGCCTTCCCAGCTGCCTTAGCAGGAAGCTGCCTCAGAAGCAGAACAGCTAGGGCTTGGAGCAGGGCTCTGTTGTGGGATGTGGGCATTGCAACCAGCATTTTAGCCCTCTGGGACACAATGCCGACTTCCCGTTTTTTATTTATACATAATAAAATCAATATATACATTAAAGACCATTTTTCTTATATGCCTCTTAAATTTCAAAACCTGCCCTGCTTTCTTCTAGGAATACTAGCAGGAATCGCTTGTATTTGGCTGAGATGTTAAGCCACAGAAAAATATGCCTTTCCTTCCTTGTAGTGTTTTAAGTTTCATTAGATGAATTCGGGAAACCTTAAAAAAACAAAACAAAACAACAAAAAAGCCCGAGTTCCTGACTGCTGTCCCTCTCTCTGGCACAGGACTAACATTTCCCACACTTTAAACTTCAAATAAACTGGTGTTTTTCTTTCTTCCTTTCTTACTTCCTGCATCTTTGAATCCAATTATAAGATGTTTCACCAATAATTCTTACACAACTCAAGGGATTCCTTTAAACTTAAAAATACAAAAAGAATAATTTTTTCACTTAC